AAGGAAGATGTTTTAATTTGTAGGGGAGGCCTGAGTGCAAGTATTGTACATAGGTATGTATTGTCACCCGCCGAAATGACGCACGACGATATTACACCAGCGCCCAACTTACAGCGCCCAAATTACCACGATCAATTTACCGTGACCAATTTACGTGACACCCCCATAGATACTATATTATATTAAAGTGACATTTTCCCAGTACAGTGATAAAAAATACTTAACATATTTGTAGTAAAATTATTGAAATTTGGGATTATCATTATTAAATTTAATTATATACTCAAGTATGTTAAGCTCAAAGCTGGCACACTGATTCCGCTCAGATTCGTTTTTCGTATACAATAATTTACTATTGATTTCAAATTGAACAACATCCATTACCTACTATGACATACTAGACAACTACTGTTCAGCAGAGTGGTACCAACTTGTCTACCTCTCAATTTTTGTGTTATGTCATTATTAAGAAAAAATAAGTGCCGTTCACAAGATACCTTTACTAGTTTGAAATGTTCATGTCTCTTTATCAAAAGTCCAAAACGTTACAGTACTTTTATGAAATCATAACGCCAAGGTAATTGATTAAATATTTAAATTTATACGTACAATACGAGATTAGGTATTATAATATGTATACACATTATGTTAATAAGATTATGAATAAGAATAATTAAACATGGTGTTTGGAGCGCTACTACCTACTTTTATGCTTTTTCCGACAAAGCATCTAATATCACACCATTCACTCCTCACAATTAGCACTCCGTGATTATGTAGGTACCAAAATCCGGGCATTGGTTATAATGTTAAAATATAAACCACAAACCCCATGGACAAGAACCACATTTGGCTAACTTAAAAACTTTAAGAGTGCATTCTCTTTTGGAATTGAAATTTGACACATGTCACATTGGATTTATAGTTGCATTTGTAACACAAAATATGAATACAAACAATATGTGTAATAAAAACTGAAATTATAACAAATTCTTTATAAACCAAACATAATTATATTTAATACAAACAACATTGTTTAACAAAGTTATATTAATTAAAGTAATAATAATAATAAGTAATCACTTAGAGCAAACCTTAAACACAAAAATTCATTCAAACTTCAACAACATGTTACTGTATCTAGTTTAAAAAATACAAGGAATGATAGCAGTCATAATATTTTTTCAAGTTAAATAAAGGTTAAATTACTATTTTTTTTTTTTTTTTTAATAACTAAATAATAGTTATATTTGCATATTTAATAGGTACTTAATATAAGGATCCATGTCTCTAGCATCAAATTACCAAGTAGCTGAAATAACTTTTATTTTATGTTACCTACCTAATTTATTCAACAAACGTTTAAATATAATATAATATGTTTTTAGTATATTATATTATCTTACTGTTTAAAAACATATTACAAAATAAAACTGACAAATTCTTAACTAAAAAATAAATTTTTACTGAAAAATGAAAACATACCATTAATTAAGGCTAATATAACAAAAAATATGTACTACTATATTATAGTAAACACTTCTTACCTACTATGAATTAATTTAAGTACTTCGTACATTACCATAGAGATCAAAAATTATCAACAACAATAAAACTAATAAAAGGACGGATTATGAAAACCTAAATGTATAGATTTTATAAGGAATATGTTAATAAAATAAGTACAAATATCTTGATCAAATTTTACAAACTTTTGACAATCAAGACAAATTCAAAATTTCAAAGTTAAAATATTTACAATGTGTTTGGTAACTACAAAAAATATTTATATTAAAATACATACTTTAATTGCCTAAATAAATGACTGATTACAATTTATAATTTGCAACATCACATTAAAAATTGTAAACACTACAGCTGATATTAAACATTAACAAACGCTGTTGAATAAATTTAAGTATGTAACCCCACTTAAAAAGTGAAATAAAATACACATTGTTAGTATACATTCAATCATTTGAAAAACAAAGCTTTGTTATTGATACATTAACCATTATTAAATTAAATATATTATTGATACACTAGTATGAAATGTTTAAAAAATTGAATGAAAATGAATGAATTATAACTTTTAACATTTGTAATTTTAAAACAGTTATTGTGATATTTACATAATTAAAATAGAAAAATTATGTTTTATATTTAATTATAAAATATTTTTAGCAATTAAATTATAGGCAATGATACTATCCTCTTTAACTTGATTATAGTAGTCAAGAAGTTACCTTTTTTTTATATTTTCATAAATTATACTGTGAAAAAAATACTTAATTTATTCTATTCTTCATGTAAAATAAAAATCATTTATCACAGTAAATTGTTAATCAGCAATATATTTAAAAAATAATAACGAACATGAACTATTAACCGATTGTTAGATGTGGTTTATAAAATATGAAAAGGTCAAGAATAAAATATCACTGAATAATTTATATATAAAAATGTATTTAATATACTTTATGTTAATAATTGTAGTGGCGTTTTTTAGCAATAAGGCAAATGAGGTGACACAATACTTATGTAAAAACAAATAATGTATAAATGTTTTTTGTCTTTATAGCTACTAGTATATTCAATTTTAAAAAATTGAAAATATTTTATTTTATATAGATCTACATATTTTTATTTATAGTAAGTAATTAATATATAGGAATTAATGAAGTGTGCACACAGATAAAATATGAATGTTGTGAGTTAAAAAAGTATTTAAAAATAATGGTTTTTATAGACTTCAAATTGAAGCTAAATTAGTATGCATGCTAAATGTATATAGATAAATACAAACACAAATAAATCAATAAATATCAAACATGCAACTCATAAAGTGAAAAGTGAAAAGTAGACTCTTATTGAATCGTTCTGGTTTATTAATAATTTGGGGAAAAGAACACTATACTTGGTATATGCTTAATATAATATTAATTTAATTTATGAGTTACTATTATAGATAGTTCTCAAACAAATGTATTTATTTTTTATCTGTTATGGTTTAAGTTATGGAGTTTCAGAAGAAAAAAAAGTTTTTGAAAATATAGTCAAAACCGCCACTAAGTCAGTATTAGATACAAAAACATTAAATATCAAACATTTTTATTAATATAAATATTAATTGAGCATTTTATTCTGATATTCTTACAATTATAATATTTATGGATAAGAATTTATAAACTCAACCCAAAGTTTATATTACCATAAATAATTTAGTTTAATATATAAAGTACATGTAATAACAAAAGAAAAATGGAATGCAGTTATAAAATCTTGGGTTATACAAATAAAACCATTAGAATATGACTTACAAACAACCTAAACTGGAAAACATTGAAGGACAACTAGTCCAAAATACTAATAACTTGTCCAAAATTATACTAAAATATGAAAGTTTGCATATTTTATAGTATGTATATTAGAATTAATGTTTATTTAATACTTATCTAATAGACGATACATTAAAAGACTAGAGCTACCAAAGAAATTTCAGTGAACTGGCTAAAATATAATACAGAGTGGGGAAGAAAAACAAACAATTTTGAAAATAGATTTTCTGATAGTAAGAAAACATAATGATTATAATTTATAATAATAATTTTATTCACTAAATATTGTTAATTAAAATAATACATACAATTTATTAAACATAGTGTGATAAAGAACATGGTTTTGTGATTATTGTTTAACAAAAATAATCACAGTTAGTGTCTGTTCAACATTAATTTTAACATTAAGTGGCATCATACAATTTGAGGAAGATTAAAAGAGTGTTAAGAAGAGATGGCGGTCGTTTTGAGAAAATTATTTAAAAAAATATATGGCATGTTATCTTTTTCATTATAATATATTAACAATCAATTAATTTTCATTTGAGATTATATTTTACAATTGGACTTTGAAATTGGCTGTTTTAATGCCCCATCCTGTATCATATAAACATATTAAACATCTATATAACACATTTGAGCCTAGTTTATTTGTAGGTATATATAACATAATTTGAAGTTCTAAAATATATTTTCATATATTTTTTTTTAATCCATCCAATTATCATGATATTTTAATAGGTATACAATTAAATATCTATCAATAACAAAAACAGTAAACAATCCTTACTTTATGACTTTATAAGCAAATTCAACAAAAATAAGCCAATCTATATTTTATTTTTGAGCAGTTTTTACAGAGTTCTATAAATCAAATGTCCATTTAACTCAAATAAATCATTAACCATTGGCAGCCACTAAGTAAGTAATTAATTGAAAACTTTTGAAAATGTATAATGAAAAATCAGACTTTGGAAATAATTAACTTAATAGTTAGAAAAAAATGAATCAGTATATAGGTATTAGCCAGATATGCAGTCTRTAATATTTCTATTCATGACATTCATTATTTAAGAAATATCAATCATTTTATAGGTATTTATCTGTTCTTGATTTGAACTATGGATTTCGTTAAAAATGCATCTTCAAGATTACAAACTTTCTAAGACTTAAATGAATAAAAAAGTTATGAAGTAATTCAAAAAATTAGAAAATGTACTGCAGAATGCGATAAATATTATATACACAATATTATATTACAATAATGTAATGATAACCATCTATTTAAAAAAAAAAAAAAAATGGATATAATTAAAAAAAAGCCCTCTAAATTTAAAAACACTAACATATATTTTATTTAAATTAAACTTATAGAACTCTGTATATTGAATTGTTAAATAACTATGAAATACCAAATAAGGTCTAGTATGCTACACATAGACTAGAAATTAAATAATGTTAATTATTATTTAGTAGCACAAATATTTCTAACGCTTTTGGAGTTTAAAGCTGGTATAAATTTTGTCATGCATTATTTTAAATTAAATTAAGTTTTAACTAGTATAACTTAAACAACTTCAATAAATTAATAAAGTTAAGAGCATAAGAATAATTTTTTTCTGCAAAACAAAAAAAACAACAATAATGAAAATCAAAATCCTTCAAAAATATTGGAACTAATGAAGATTTTTTGATGATAAAATCAATAAACTAACAGGAATACATATAATTAACAGTAAATGGTTATTAAATTAATTTACAAATGAAAACAATTTGGACAGATTAGTATAACTTATTGCACATAATGGACTTATTTAAACGAGAAAAAATTGAAGAAATTCTTTCTCGTTGCAGTGATCTAGCATTCTTATATAATATTGTTTACATAAAAAAATTATTTCAGAAATAAATTGTTTTCTTTTTCTAATATTACTAAATAAGGTTTTTGCAATACCTTGAAATCAGGCAAATTATCCAAAATTCTTTGTGCTTCATGACTCACTGTTGTTATGAGAGAACTTGGACTTTCAAAGGTATCTATTAATTGATTGTGGGATGATGATGGTAATGATGAACTGAAAAACTCATCAAACACATCTACACTTTCAGGACTACTTTGAATGGGTGTTTCTTCTTCTTTCACAACCTCAGATGTTTTCCATGTTTGAGGCTGAACTAAAGTTAATTAACACAAAAAAGAATATTAAAAAATACGAATGAAGCACAGATATGATAGAAAAACTGTTATTAATATCACTTTCATTAAATATATATAAATAATACAATATATATATATACATATAAATATTACAATATTTAATTTATGTTTGGGAGTAAATGTAAATCTATAACTCATTAATTCTCAAAATAATGTGTAAATTTTAGTATCAATGCATAGATATGTCAATTATTTATATATATTTTCACGATATTATTGGAATGTATACAAGAATTATGTTCAACTATGAAAAACAAATTAATACATAAGAATAAAGAAGGGAAGAATTTAATAAAAATGTATAACGAACAACAATATTATACAAATGTACACTTTTGTTTTTTAATTATTGATGCAATTTACATAGTAATAATATATCCGGTTCAATAACAATTTGTATACGACAATAAGTTGGTAAAATATTATCATTCCACATTATTGTGTTAATTAAACAATGGTCATATAAAAAAGTGACCAGTTGGGCGTCATATTATTGGCAAATGATAATAGGTTATGGAAAAAACTACTTAAAAGGATAGATCTAACTTTTTTATTTGTTTAGTTAATGGTTAATCAATTTTTTTTTAACAAAATCAAACTGCATATTTGTAGATGTAGCTTCAAAACTTCAATTGTTAATTTTTTAAGAATATTTTATAGTGCTATCAACTAACATACACAATAAAACCAGAAACTTACTAATATTATTAAATTTAAAAAGAAAAAAAGCAGTCAAAAATTATAAAAAGAAAATGCATATAACTCTCAGTAACGCCACATTTCTACAGTTTTTATTTGTGTTTTATCATCCAACAGAATACTGTATAGAATACTAAATGTTTTTATCATATCTTCTATCATTTTTGAATTAATATGACTGCTCAATATGACACAATTTTTTTAAATTGTAATTATTGTCAAGGGACAATAAATATTGGACAAGCTTAAATGAGATAATATGTACTCACAAGGATGAAAAATGTAGAATAATTTTGTATTCTAGGTATCATATATTAGAATAATAAAGTTAAAATAACAACTGTAATAAATAATGTGTTATTTGAAATATTATACAATTTCCTTTAAAAAATGTAAAATCAGCTCATTTTTTTAATTTAATAAAAATAATTCATATATATCTGGTTTGGTATGTAAGTTTTTAACACAATGAAATAGTTTTTAAAAAAAAAAAAATACAATTTTGTTTCATAAAAGTTAAAATACCCAAAACCAAAAATTTAAAATTTAGACCCATCCGTTAAAACATGTTTTTTTTATAACTTAGTAGGTTAGGTAAGGTATAATATCACATGACACTGGCAGGCCACTTTTTCACTGGATACATTGTATAATTATAAGAAAAAACAATAAATGAAATACTCATAATTATAACATTATATTTAAAATTAAAACATACTTCTTAATATTTAGAAAATTGTGCATAATATTATTAATTATGCATACATTATTAATGTGCAAAAGTTAATTCATAAAAATGATACCATATAATGATTATTATAAACTAAAATAACTCAATTTTTAAATTTAAGGACATTTAGCACAACAGCAAAGCAATGCATAAATGCATAGGATATCTATTCATGTTGTGCCAGTCTTACAAATAATAAATAATAATATATAGCATAGTAAATTTKATATTATTTATTTATTTGTTATTTGTTATTACTTTATTAGCATAATATATTATTTTATGTTGTCAGCTTTAATATTCAAGTAAAACAACCAATTATCTTACTTAAAAGTAAAAAGTAATAACATTATCAGTAATTTTATGTTGATTTCTTATGAAGTTATAATTTTTAAACGAGCATTGAGTACATAAACTATTTAAATAATCATTACTTAAAAGTTAAAGGTGTTATAACTTCTTATATAAAAACATACATACACAGATAATATTATCACTTATCAACTTAAAGTTTGATAATAAGTCAATTCATTCCTATACTAAAAATAGCAACATAAAATTAGCTCTACACTTGCTATATTTTACATTTATTTTGTAAAACAGAAACAACGCAAAATGAAAAAGCATCCTCTTAAAAAATTATTTTATAACAATGAAATTATTACACATTAAGCAAAAACAGAAATACTCACGAGCATTTGTACAGCATGGTGCAAGTGTATCGAGAAGTTCGAGATCAAGTAGCGACGTATGATTACCTAATTATCCCACAATAAATGCATGTTAAGCTCCACCACCAATTAACAATTATTTTAGGCATGATTTAAAGGCAATTAATTTAGTAAAAAGCATTTGTTTCAGATAAATTATCAGATTATCAAAAAACAATTTCAGATATTTTTATATTTTTATCAAAAACCAATTTATTAACTACTAGTATTCCTCTTTTTAACACCAATTTTGATAGGTATAGATAAGTTAACTTGACATAGAAACTGAATTTTATATTACATTAAACATAAACTAAACACTTGGCTATATTAAAAATGTAAAATTATTTTAATTGATTATTTATCTATATCACAAATTTTGAACAATGCTGTTGACCAGTATAATATATAAAATATGAAACATTAAAACATTTAAATTAACACTGTTTTATATCTAACTGAATTGAAAAAATATAATATGATGGAATCAAAAAAATATACTTAAAATGTGAACTCTTAAGAGATAAAATGTTGACTATCATATGTATATGAATTGGGATAATATATTATTTGGTTCACACTTTATTTGCCAAATGTTTTACTTTTTTTATGACAAAATGCATTTTTAAATTTTTTATTCTGAAGCATAACATTTTTTGGAGTACTTAAATTTACAAAAATCAAATTTTTGACTATTAGTTTATAAGCTATTAACTTATAAGTATTTAAAGCTTAATTGATTGGAGGAGAGTGATATAGGAATACTCCACTCTTAAAAGATAAAATGTTAGTTGTCATGTTTTATTGGTTCACAACTCTAATCATCAAAACTTTAAATACTTATAAGTTATACACCCTGTTTCAAAAGAGAACATACCAGGCAGCCACGGGCAAAACCATTTTTTTTACGTAAATCTGGTATATTCTCTTTTGAAACAGAGTATAAGTTATAACTAATAAACTACTTGGCTGAAATTAGATTTTTATAGATTGATATACTCCAAATTTTGCTTTTATAAATGAAATTTAAAATGTATGTAATAGTAGGAAACTTCAAAATTTATAAAAATTGTAAACTATAATTTTTTGAATTTTGTTTAGTAAAGACTTAAATATTATGTAAAATAAATATTTTCAAAAATGTTAGTAACAGCGTAGTCTGAAATATTAAGAGGACGCCACACCCGCATGTGTTGTCTCCGTCTTACAAACGTATAACATAGCAAAATCTGTTTAGCGCTGGAAAACTGTTCTCCCTCAATATTTATAATAGAATTTTCAAAATTTCACAACGCATAGGTAAGAACTTTATCTGTGTCATAGCGTCRTTATTTTTTTGATAACATAAATATAATTAAAGTTATTTTTTCATTAAATTACTTAAAATTATTGGTTTGTGCTATCAAAAAAAATAAAGGCGCTATGACACAGATAAAGTTCTTACCWATGCGTTGTGAAATTTTGAAAATTCTATTATAAATATTGAGGAAGAACAGTTGTCCCGCGCTAAACAGATTTTGCTATGTTACTCACTTGTAAGACGGAGAAAGCACATGCGGGTGTAGCGTCCTCTTAAGTGCCTTTCATTAAATGGATTAACCCATATTATATATATTAAACGCTTATAAATTCATCCTATAAAGCTAAATGTATAAGAAAATAGTTTTATTAATGTGTATAATATACAGAAAAAGATATTGAACAACTGAAAATACAAAAACATCTTAATCTTAATATAAGTGTTTACCAATGCCGAGAATTTAGAATGATTTATTAATTTCCATCTATTATATCTTGTGGCTAGAAAAATGACAAATATCATATTTTAAATTTTGAATGTTTTTTTAATAATTCTGTAGGTATAATCATAATAGTATACACATCTTACCACAGCAAATTTCACTGAATAAAAATGTAGTTACTATAGTAATTTAATTGTTGTTAATCAATGATAAGTAATATGTATAATACTTCTATACTTGATCACAGTAATGTGATAAATCATAACTACTTAAACATTCAAAAACTGAATAAGAATCAATTAAAAATTTTTATACAAATTTTTAATATCTATTATGTTCCAACTTATTTTCAAATAMGTTCAGAACGAAAATCAGATAAAAGTTGTATACAGTAAATGTTAAATAATTAAGTTATATGTATAATTAAATAATTAAGTTATATGAATAATAATATGGTTGAGAACTATCATTATTTATTATGTCCTATATTGAGAGGCATATATAAAGTTGTACATGGGGCTTATATTTCACCCTTTTGACATATTTTATACTTTTTTAATACATTATTTAGGGAAGGAAAGTATGAATTATAACCAGGGCTGTGAATTTATAGGAAAGTGCATTTTTTTTTGGTGATTGTAAAACATAGCTTTGTATGTACATAATTTAAATTATATAATTACGAATCAATCTATGAAACTTTTATTTTGCATATTTTTGCATTTTTGGACGTTTTTAATTTTTTAGGTCATTTTTTTGTCATATTTTGCTTTTTTAGTTCATTTTCTAGTATTTTTAACCAAATTCCGTCAATTGACTTGTTTGAAAACATTTATTTTTACTCTACACAGGCTGTATATATTATGTTAAATTTATATTTTATTAAATAATATTTTAGTTAGTATTATTTTGTTTTATTATTTTAACCAAATAAATACAAAAAAAAACATTTTTTTTTTAACGTTTCAGGTGAATAGCATTAACTTAATTCAGATTCAATCAACTTTTTTAATAAATAAACACTTTTTTGTAATAACGTTTAATATCCTGTACCTAATATTAATATAAATATAAAAATTAAATTAAAAACCAATTTTAAATGAACTTTATACTATAATTTTTGGCATTTTATATTCCTTTTTTTTTTTAATTTTAAGTGCATATTTTATTGCATTTTTTTGACATTTTTAATGCGTTTTATAAGGTTTTTTAGTGCATTAAATTCACAGCCCTAATTATTACTTATAACTATGTATATTTCAATTTTTTTGTTTGTATCCCCATTCCCATAAGACATTTCTAGATATAACACTGCCTTTATTATAGATAAAAAATAAATTCTGAACACATAATACAATTAAACTATTACAATTTATACCTTGTTTGTAGTTAGAAAGCAATTAATGATCAGTTTTAATTTGTGGTTAAATGTATATATATACAGAGTGTAAAAGACAGACCTGGCCAAAAAATTATGGTAATTATTCAATGAATGACAAAAATTGTTAATATTATATTATAAGTAAATAATTTAAGAAATATACTCAATTCAGTAAATTC